TCAGTCTCATTGCCGCAACTCGAATATATATATGTATCATTTGTACACTCGTAAGGGGATACCGCACGATTTTATTACGAATGCTTTTAAGGAAATTTCCGGATTCCGGATACTAATTTTCCAACAATTTTATTTTTATTCTTTTTTTTGTCTTTCTTTTTTGGTAAACAGATGGATAAACTGACTGAGTATCCTCCTATTCATCCTCTGCAACCATCCAAGTTTCTGGAGTTTAAGACTCCTATAAAAAATAGATTTTTACTAAAGTTGTTTTCTAATAAGAGCTAAATTTAAAACACAATAAATCAGAGTCTGAGTAAGATAAATGGGGTATGATACATTTTCTAGATACCATTTCAATCTCTTCTAAATTTGAAAAGATTTTGGTTATGTATAGATACACATTAGATCGAATCATAAGTAATTTCCGTTTTTGTTTTTATCATACATTTATTTTTGCTTTTTATTAAATAACAAAATTATATTAATTTATTATGTTTTCAACTACTTAACTGTGAATTGGAAGTTATATTTGATTCGATCTGATACATATTTGAATCGTAAATTTACATTTGATGATCATTATCTCAATCGATTAGATAAATGGATAGATAGATCTCTGTTATTATTCTTATAAAGTCAGTTTAACATAGTGATATAAAGTAAATAGAACACTTAGACGATAGTAAATACTTACCTAGATATCTTGATGGACCATTCATCTTCGCCAAAGTACTTCATTGCTTCATTACATTATGGACTTTCCTCGAGTTTTAGTTGATCATCATCTCCTTCTCTTTCTATCTATCTATCTATCTATATATCTCTTTCTCTTTTTCTTTTTGTGTGTATATGAGCTTTTACTTTCCGTATATTTCTCCAAGTATTTCTCTCTTGGTGAGAGAATAAAATGAGAAAATACACGACGAAGTGAGAAATTTTCTCGAGAATAAAGCCCTTCCTGTGCTTTTCGATCTTATTAGATACCTAAATATTCTTCCTTCAAGAACAACTTACTAGTAACTTTAGACTAGAAACTCTCATTATTGCTGCTCTCTTCCTATCCCTTTCTACTCCTTCTCTTTCTTCTTTACTTAAACTCTTCTCTTTATTTTAGCTTCTTTATATATCTATATCGTTAACTCGTCTAACGTCCTTAAGATCGAACCTTAAAGATTACAAATTTCCTATTTGCGCATAGTTCATAACATGTTTTCTTCCTTAAACTTATCATGAGTTTTATTTCTTATAGAAAACTTTAACAGGAACTTTAATTCACTTTAAGTAGTGAATAGTTTTATAAATAAAAATTTGCTGAAATATTTATAATAAAATAGATCAAACAAAACATAACATTCAAGCTTTCGTTGATCATTCGTTGGTAAATTGTTAAAGCTAACTCGTGAATCTGTCTTACCGACTGTTAAACTAAAAAAAAATAGGATTACTGATCGATAAAGTAGTAACACTGTAGGAAATGTAGTTTCTTAAGTATATTCTTACCATCAATTTGCTATTTTCCTTTCGTAGATAAAACAGATTTCTATATAGAATTCTATTGGTATACATTGACCGATTGAAGGTACAAATGATCTGACCTAGAAGATACTTTAATTGTAAGATACAATTTTTTAAATCGGTATTTTTCTGACTGTAGATTATTGTAGGGTATTGAAGAAGGGATAAACAAAATAAAATGAGATGATTTTATGAAAATGTAATTATTTATCTTTTTTTTCTATCATATACTTTTATTGTTTATGATTTTATAGTATATCAAAATAAAATTAATACGAATGAACGTAGGAAAAATTTTGATATAGTAATAATTAAAAACCGGATCAATATGAATTCTCGAAGGATAGGTTTTAAATGTGAGCAATTCTTCATCGGTCATTCTCACTGTAAAACACCCTAGTCTATTTCACCCTTCTAGTCCTCGACTCCCTTTTGACCTTTTTTCCGGTCAATCTCCAGAGCCGACGTGCTCTTGTATATTCCGGATGAATAGCGTTTAAGCGAATTGATGGACCTCCGGTGGTCGACATGTCGAAGTAAAGTGAGAAAGAGAGAGAGAAAGAGAGAGAGAGAGAGAGAGAGAGAAAGAGAGAGAATAGAAAAAAGTGCAGTAGTAAAGCTATAAAAGGGAAGAGAAATGAAGAGAGAAAGTAGGGAATAAAAAGAAAAGGGTGGGTGATGGTTATGGGGAAAGAAAAAAGAAGAAAAAGAAAAGTTTCTTTTTCCGCCACGAAAAGCCACGAGGATGAACCAGCAGTTATGAATGGATATTATATATATATATATATATATATATATATATATATGGGGACGAATTATCGTTTCGTGGTCATTTATACGACAGATCGTGTCAGTTAGTGACACGTCGAAGTAATACGAATTAAAATATTCATCGTTAAATGGATTATATTAATAAAGTTTCATATACTTTTCTTTTTTTTCTTTTTTACTACTTTTTCTTTTTTTCTCTTTTAATAAAGATTTAATTAAACCAACGTATTCTTAAGTTTCACGAGAAATATTATATGAAAAGAGAAGAATAGGTTTAAACGTGGTATTATATTATACAGGGTAAGTCATTTTAAAAAGACGAACATTTAAATATCTCCATTATTTATTTGGAAATTATTTGGACGTTTTAAGGTTAATATCGTTTTTTTTTTTTTTTTACAAAGAACGTTGAAAAGTATAATTTAGTTGAAGAAAAAAAAACCACTGCTGACACATGTAAATGATACCGAAAAGAAAATTTTAATCGTTACATTAAAATTGTTGTATGCAATATATATTTATGGAGAGGAGTTACATACAGTATATAACTTTGGGGGGTGAAAACAAAAATTGTCCCTTCTTCTCACACGTGTCCAATTCAAATAAATGTAACTTACAAATTTTAAAAGCATTCTCCACACACACACACACACACACATAAAATCATAAATAACCTAATATATTCAAACAATCATATCGAATAGAAATAGTTCACCCTGTATATAATGGGTACCTAGCTTGAAAATCAATGATGAAAATGGAGCGACGTAATTAAAGGTATATCTACTATTCTCTTACAATGAGACTTCAACTCGAGCTTGCTGATATTTCCTGAATGTTCCTTTCTTTCTTCCCTTTTCTCTTTATCTTTCTTCTCTCATCGTTCTTTTCTTTCTCGCTGATAAGGAAACGTGTCTAAGGTCGAAGATGAAGAGAAAAACTGGAGAAACGAAGTAAGGAGGAAAAAAAAAGTAAAGAAGAAAAAGAAAAGAAAAAATAAAAAATAAAGAAAAAGGGACAATATCGTGTTGTCCGAAGTAATGAGTGGTAGGAATGAGAGACGAACGATTAAAGAAAGAAATGGGTTCTGTTATATATACACCCCCAAGTCCAACAGATTCGTGTGGCCCTTACCAAGAAAGAAGATGCCGTTATGCTGCTTTTATTCTTTCGACGTATTCCTTGGAAACGATTCACCGAGCAGCGAACCACACGACGGTAAAATCAGCCGGCAGCAATTTATATGATAATTGCTTTGCTCCTACCCACCTCTTCAAACCAACCAACCAACCAGCCACTACTAACCTCAAACCCCCGCCCTCATTTCTACTCCCAGTCACTCGGAATTCTTTTCGAACTTACTTTCTTCCTTCCTTCGAGAAAACTTCCGACTGTCTTTTTTCTTCCATTTCTCTACCCCCTTACCACTGCCACCATCACCATTACCCCTTCCCTTTTATAGCATCAACCCCCATCGTGTGTTGCCCTTGCGTTCCATTTTTATTTTCGTTGATTTCGTTTTTTGTTTTTTCTGATTTCTTTCTCTTGTTCTACCTCTTCATTCTTGTGAATGAATGGATGACGATAGGACAGGATGACAAATGTTTGGGATCAGAGTGTAACGTTATGTGAAAGTATTGTTGATTTTTTATAAAACGGTTGAGGATCTTTTTTTTCTGAAGTTGGATGGTGATCAGTTTTACGATTAAAATCTTCAATAGTGATTAATATTATAATATCTTACTTTTCTATTTGTAATATACAGTCAGATCTTGAATTGTGAATAATATTTTGATTTTACGTGTGTTCCGTAAAACGAGAAAAGAAAAATGTTTTTTAAAATGTGATTAATTAACGATGTCTTGCAATACGAAAAATACTACGTTATATCCATAAATAAAATAGTGCAAATTAACTTGTTTCATTTTTAATATTTTCTATTTTATATCATTTGAATATGAATAAATAATCATGTTAATGTATTAATCGATTGTTTCATTATGTATTCCTCATGAAGAAATTTGGTTTTATATACGAATGGTTTCGATTACGAGTACATTTCTGGACCGAATTAGTCACAAACTTAGGTTCTATTGTACTAAAATAGATATTATTTTAATAAATGTTAACAACAATATATTCAGGATGAACGTCAATATTACAATACAATAAACTAGTTACCAAGACTTGATATTAAGTTAGTTGCTATGCATATTCTATGTTATTCTTAAGACTTTCCATAATACACCCCGTTCTAAATACCTCTTGCTAACCCATTCTTCAGCCAACCTTCGCCACGTCACATCTTACACATTCATGGAACAATTAAAGACAAGATATATGTCCATGAAAGTGAGGTACCATGGGTAAATATTTAACAAAATAAACTAGTTTATTAGTTATTTAACATTACATTATTTAAAATTATATAAATAAATTTAAATTAATTTAAATTATAAAAATAAAAAAAATCTAATTTTTACAATATTATCAGAAACGAGTTGTTAGTTAATGTTTATTATTTGAACATTATATGAAATTCATTTAATGTACAAATATAATCTTTTAATACTTAATCTAGCAACACTTCGTGTATATAGTGAACAATATATTTTCTTTTATTTAGAAATGAATAACTGGAAGATCTCACGAGCCCGCCGAAGGCGGGCGAAGTTTGATCTCAATTATTCGAGTGTTTCGCACGTGAGATTACGAAGGTAGCTGTTTAGAGCAACAATCTCTTAGTATCAGTGGTAATTATCCGATTACACGGAATAAAAAGAAAAAATGAAATACCTTACACTTCTAACGGCTTATACCTATTGCTAATATAATTACACACATTTATTGGGTGTTAACACCACCTCTGCAAAATTATTGTTGTGAATAGTTATTGGCTGGTGGTAAAAGTCGGTAAACACTTTGAAGTTTTTGGACCAACCTGCCACTTTCTTAATTTCTCGATACTAATGCCTTTGTCAAAAGCTTTTGACGTCGATGCATGCCTCGTGGAGTGATACCAACGTCGTCCTTATCCACCGGCTGATCGTCTCACTCCTGACCGCCCTATGCAGCTTGTTAATTGAGATAAACAAAGTATCAACATCTCCTCGCAGCCCCTTAGTCGCCAACAGTTATTGATTCAAGCTTTTGATAATACATAATTCTGGTTTGTCCAAAAAGAATGAAAGTCTTAAAACCGGCTGCGGGACTCCTGGTCGAGAAGTCTTGATCCTCCCAGGAATTCGGATTTCAATTTTTGACTCTGAAACGGTAATGCTCGAGATATTAATCAGCGCCAACGTTTGACAGCGGTGCGCTGTACCCAAAGCCAATAGCACAACAAGCTTTTCCGTCAATTTCTTCAAAGGAAGTTCCTGCACTGGACCCCATTCCGCCAGCTTTGACAAAACTGGGTCTACGTCCCAAGTAGATTCGTATTAAGGACATCCAGGTCTTATCCTCGAAAAACCCTTGATAAATCGGCTTATTAATGGACTGTTCGTGATATCCTCGTTTGATATCAAAGATAACGCCGCCCTGGCTGAGTTTAGTGCGCTATGTCCAACTTCATCACCGAATTTTTCTGTTAAAAATTTTAAAACCTTCTCCACAGACACCTCATATGGATCTTCGATGACCTGATTATTCCAACGCCACCAGAGCTTCAAAGTTCCATTGCAATAGTTTAGTGTTGCTTCTGCTAGTGAAGGTAGCGAGATATCAACTGCTTCCTTAGGCATGCCTTTGATTACAAGTGCCTGGCTGATAACCTGGCGACAACCAGGGTAAATCTCGCAGCTAAAGGATGATGTGACCTGAGTAGGCCAATAAGGTACAACCAAAATACTTTCTGCCTTATCATCTTTGATTTTCCTTGTCACCTAGTTTATCGCCAAACAAAAAATCGTCAGCCTCTCTTTTCTCTAGTGCCGTCGCCCACTGTCTTGACAACGTCGGTAAGATGCAAGCTCTGCGTGCAACCGTTTGAGATCTATGGATCTCAACTTGTAATTTTGCCGCATCCCAGACATGCTCCAATCTCTTACCATTGTCTTGATCCCTAAGAGATGCCAGAGACTCAATTACTGGAACTAAAGCAGCCAAGGCAGACCCTGCTAGCTTCTGCGTACCACTAAAGTATTTGTCCCTTTTCAGAGCTGGTTTTTTTAGGTTCGCTGCGACCTCTTCATTCAGAATCGGCGGCTCAAGCTAGAATTTGCCTTTCCTGGGATATTTGCTTAGGAGTGACTCCCTAACCTCTTTCTTTAAGCCTTCGACAAAATATTTTTTCCAGCGATTAACGACACTGGAGAGCAGGACTAATCGAGGTTCTTCCTGCACCAGTTCCTCTCCCAAGATACGGAGAGCATCCGCATCCAGCTCCCATGGGATCTCTGTTTCTGCGCTTTCAACTGGCTCTGAACTCGGTAGGACTACTCTGCTAGTTGTTTCAGGCTGAGAATTCTCTTCTTCTGCCACTTGCTGCTCACTCGAGGCTTGGTCCTTAGTTGATGTAGGCTCTGTGTATTTAATTCATTTTATTATAGATTTCCACACATCAATTTATTTAACAATTGTACAAAAGTTAGGTAGTCTATTGTTTACTCTGGAATAACCTCCCGGGTAATTCGAGTAATTTTAATCTCTACTTTACCTTCCAGGTAAAGTCAGATTACCATATAAGTCCCATTTTACCTCTCGAGTAATACAGAACACTACCATACCCACAGAGCACTACCATGCTGTGCTATAATTATTATGATTATTTATAATCATGTGAGCCTCTCGGGTGTGACTGCCATAGAGACATTATAGATAGAGTAGACAAACCATAGACGGTTGTGTAAGTGGAAATATCTCTGCATGAATATAGCAAAAAACGAAAGGTTGATGTTGTCTCTCTAACTCATGCGGTACCGGCGCATGAGAATTAGACTTGTCGTGCTTATCGTAAAAGCATCTGATGAAGTTTGGAACAATTTTATAAAGTTCACTATAGAAAAAAGCAGCAAAAACTTTTTTTTTTAAATAAAAAAGTTATTAGCAAGATTCGAACTCGAGCCGTACTAAAATCAGCTACCTCAACCTTTACTAACAGACTAATGCGCATGCGCCGCTCAGCGCAAGTTAGAGAGACAACATCAACCTCCCATGTTCTATCTCTTTTTATTTCGCCGACAGGTTTTATGCTGGCTTGTCTGCTCTATGTGTAGTATCTCTATGGTAATGCCTCTCGGGCGTGAAGGTATAATTTACGAAAATTGTGATTGCATCTCGTGTTCACAATTAACCCGTAGTTGTAATGGATACGATTATCTTCTACATCTGATTCCGACCGCTCTGGTGTCTCACGGACTGTATCGTGGCGTCCCAAGATGGCTTCCTTTATTACAGCAAACCCCGTTGCTATCTCCTCCATCTTATTCTCTAACTTGCGAAGTCTTTTGGATGTCCTTTCCCTTGAACGCTCCTACTACCCATTGATAATTTTTTATCTCTATTATTAATAATAAAATCCGTTAGAACTGCTCACTTGCACCAAACGTGTGATCTCTCTGACATAAAAAGTCGAGTGGCGCTCTAGTCGCTCGCTTAGCTCTGAAGTGTGGTCCAAGATATGGAAGTAGTAAAACTACCTTCGTAATCTCGAAGTGCGAGACACGAAGGATAATGTATATTTTAATGGAAATAAATATAATTTTTACAAATTACAAATATCATACATACGATGTATTATATTACATATATTGTTTATTAAGAAAAAAATATAGGAAAAGACAAAAAATATACATATATATATAATGTATCTTCTCTCACCTGTAACCCAAATACAAGCAAAGCTTACGTTGATGACTTCGATGATACCAGTTGATGTATAAACGCATACACGGATTTTCCTATCGTTTAGTCAAGCCAACTAACTCGCTTGTAAATTCGTAACGATACGATACGATTAGTCGGATATAAACGTTCGAGCATAACACGTTGGCAAACGTGTCAGTGTAAATTCTTGGATCGTAAATCGATTAGTTCTAACGTATCAAATATGAATATTTTTATTTCTTTTCATATCGCAGATATCGAAGTCTTCAAATATTGGACGACGTTATTACATGAGTTGTTAATTCCAATAAAAATTACTTATAAAGTATTATATAATGAAAGATTTCTTTTATAAATATAATATATATATCTCAAATTTTGTTAAAATCAAAATTTATTGATATAATTCATTTTATCTCTGGATTCATTACAATCAAGATTGTCAGTAGAAATCTGATATATTCGAAAATAAAACTTACACGAATTGGATAATAAAAGATTCATGGTTTTTTCTTTTTATAATAATATTAATATTTTTATTAATCTTGATAAAGATTATATTTTATATCCCAAAATTTATAGACATAATATTTTACTCTATTAAACGATAAAATTGTGTAGAATTTGATGATATAAAAATTGATTTTAATTTTTTATCAAAATATTATTATATTTAAATAGGATTTTGTTAATTGCTGATAAAGTATTAATTTGAGATCGAAAATTGACGAAGAAAATGATTATAACAATGTAATTTTATACGAATTCGATGATACCAGTAATGAATTTAAATGTCAATCAAAAATGTTTGTTTAGAAATAGTAATTCAATATTATTACTATTATTCGATCTTAAAAAGAGTAAATGTATTATAATGCATATACATATACATTAGGGTGGATTAAAAAAATCAATTATATTCAAAGATATTCAGAGACAAAAATCAGTACACATGAAAGTTTGATGATGAATATCTTTTGAACGCTTAATTTAATCGCTAAAACATAAGACACCATTTTTATAGAGTAGTTAATTTCCTACAAAAATTTGTATTGCGCATCTTATAATAGTCATTTATTGTCGAGTTATAAAATTCATAAACAAAAATGAAATTTGTCTTAAAATAATCAATCTTAAATCTTCAATATCATTCAAATGGTGAGGTTTACGGAAAAAATATAAGATACCTTTTTTGTAGAGCATTAAATTTCCTACAAAATTCGTCCAGAATATGTTTCTGTACGATCAATAAATAATGAGGTATGAATTTTAATCTATT